TGCGTGCTCTCTCTTTTTCTCTCTCACACACATACAGTACACACACACTGTCAGATGCATTTGAATACACCAGCTGTCTAGTGTGTTACTATGTTGTGCTGCTTTTTTTTTTTAAGGATAAAGGAATACAGCTCTGACAACACAGATTTTTTTTCAGCATTGCCAAAAGTATATGCAAAGAATATGGAGCCATGTCTTTGAGGGCTTGATATTCTTTTGCACAAATATGTTGTTAGCCTTACTGTATTTCTGTATCCGGCATATGAGATTGCCTTCTCTTTGGTGGCCCAGAGGACTTGGAGATCTATCAGGCATGCTTTCTTCACAATCCCATCAGTTCTGCTGCCTTAATCAATAGGAACACCAGACTTCATGGTGACTATCGCCCCAGGTCAGAGTTTTCACAGAGCTTTTGACTGACTGACTACATTCAGAAAGTGAATCTGGTGACCATCAAAATGACGACTTTGACCAAGTAGCAAAGAAGTTGGGACTTTTAATGGCATTTTCTAGGCAGTGATTTTATTGTCTGATTCCAATACATTGATAGCAGACAGAAATAATTATTATGGAGTATTGCAGCTGATCTTGAAACCCTGTCCAGGTTCATTTATGACATGAATATACCTTATCCTTCAGGGTAGAATGGCGATTGGAATAGCTGGGGAGGCTTTTTTCATTTGTAATTAAGTTCAGATGATAATCATTGATCTCCAATAAATATTTCCTTTCCCAATCCTATAGCACTTTGTACTGTGTTTAAAATATTAATAACAGTGATGGCTAAATAAATGTTTAAGCCAAATTGCATTTTAAATATCTACTCATCATGTATGGCTCATGTGAATATTGTGGAGGATATAGGGAGCAAGGTTGAGCAGAGTCTGATTTACAGTTAATACGTTTGCCTTTTCAGCTGCAGAGTTAATGTCATTGCTTGTTTGAGGGATTTAATGTGAATCCTTCCTTTTTGTTTGCTGTAGCATTTGACATCTTCATTCAGGATAAAGTTGATGGGTAGAAAACCCTTACATGTGTACATTTATTCATAATTATTGAGATATTAGAAAATCAACTACTTCAAATAAAACAAATGAAACATCACCAATATTAAACACCAGTATCCTCTTCTTTGAAAGAAAAAAATGGAATGACAACTAGGGAGAGGAGGAGTTAAAAAAAAGAAACATTCATGATTGTTATGAAGATCACGAACAGAAAGGTGACACACCTCTTGGGAAAACACAATAGCTAATTTGAGATTCTGTATCTGGTGGCTCCTGCCTTGTTTTGTCTTTCTGAGCTTGTAAGATGAAGTTCTGCTGCGTTCTGCCCCCTGGGCTGTCAAAATCTTCTGTGTATCTCTCTTTCTCTCAGTGAGCAGTTATGGGGATGATGAAGATCTAACAACATCCTCAGACAGTGATGAAGAGGTGATTAAACAGTTTGAGATCTCAGTTTCTCGTTCGCAAAGCTTTCGATCAGGAGTTTCGGAAAAAGGAATCCAAGCAGGTTTGGAGCACAGGCCAAAATTTAACTGCTTGCTGTCAAATCATGAAGAATACAGTACTGAGGCCTCTGAAAGTGAAGGTATTTTATAACTCTTAAAAAAAACATGAATGGAAATTGCAGAGATAGACAGTTTGGCTCAGTCAAGGGATATTTAAAAGTGGTCAACAACGTGACTAGAATCTGCTCCAGGGTTGAAGGCCTATGGACCTCTTCTTACGACCAGCTGAACCTCTCTTAAACCTCTCTTAAACCTCTCTTAAAATTAGTCAAACCTTAACACTAAACATGACAAAAGCCAATAAAATCAAAAGCTTATAATTTTAATCTAAAGTCAACACATCACTTCAAAAATAAAATGGGAAAAAAATAAAATTAAAATAAAAAAAATATTTTTTAGGAGTACTTGGGAAATAGTACTTGGGAAACAAGCTTCTAAACTTCTCCTGTAATACATCTAGCACCTTAATAGGCTAATATAATAAAATTTGACTTGGATAAACTGTAATAATGATTTGTTCAGTGGCCATTCAAAGTTACGACAACACTGAAAAAAGTGACTTATGACCATTTTTCACACTTACGACCTTTGCAGCATTCCCTGTGGTAACATGAGCAAAATTCAGACATTTGGCATCTGGCATTTATTTATGAGGGTGTCCTGGGGCCATGTGTACTGGGGTCATGTGATCAACTTTTGCAACCTTCTGACAAGCAAAGTCAACAGGGAAGCCAGATTCAGTTAGCAACCGTGTTACTAACTTAATAACTGTGTCAAGAAAGGTCATAAAAATGGGGGCAAAACTCCCTTAACAACTGTCTTATTTAGCAACAGAAAATTTAGGCTCAGTTGTGATCATAAGTTGAGGACTACCTGTATGTATCAAGATGTCTTTGCTGATGACAACTCTATATAACTTCAGAAAATGAGTCAAGATGGTTTTTACCAGGTTGCTTGATCTAAATGACCAGCCTTTCTCAAATGCAACAACTTGAAGATGTGTAGACTTCAATTCCCAGAATCCCTCCACCAGCATGCTGAGGTTGAGGTTGCTGAAGCTGACAAACACTGGTTTAGATCAGACTTCTCCAATTAACACCCTCCAGAAAGAAAATGCCAAGTTGGAAAAGATGGAGTTTTGGTGTACCATGCACTTTGCAATATATCTCACTGACTGTTTCTAGTATAGCTAGTTCAACTTTTGGAAATTCTTTATGAGGAGTCCTGCAATAAACTTTTAAGTCAACTCCACAGCAGCATTTTCAGAAGAAACTGAATTATTTGTATTCTGAAATAGGCCCCATTGGCTTCAGTAAGGCCGGCTCCCAAGAGCAGGCATAGGATTACAGCCTTAGGCAATCAGTAGAAATTACATTTCTTAACCTTCAAATAGATTTTAACGCTTAACCGATACTCTGGCTACAGGCCAGATTTGCAAAGCACTGAATATGTGTGCTGGGGGAGGCTGTGTGTGGGAAGTGCGTAAAATAATTTCTCACTAGAGAAGCACGTCTATTCTGAAAGCTTACGGCATTTTATTTATTTATTTTAAATTTTAAAACCTGTCTTCCAGCCTACTGCTCTGATGTGTGCCAAGTGTACATCAAACATGTACTGCTTATGTTAGAGCTACAATCTGTGATGTACACCATGTTCTGTTCAACATCAGTGGTGCCCGGAGCTTTCATAGTGGAATGAAAAACATCCTACAGCACTCTTGTAGGAAGGAAATCCCATGGCCCTCCAAACAGACAGATTCTGGACAATCACATAGAGAACTGCAATAGTGGTGAATATCTGTAGCTCAGGTGTAGGATGAGGGTGTAGGGTAAGAGTCCAAATCAACCACACTGCCAACCAGAGACAGCACTGAACCTCAACCAACACATGCAAGCCCCCCTCCCACTAGCAGTTCACCTCCCAATGACCCTGAGGTGATGTAACCTCCCCATCACAAGATCCATCACCAGACTCACTGATGACTCACACCTGACCCATCACAAGACCCATCACAGACCCTCACTTGTCACACCCACACCTGAAGCCCTTATAAACAGAAGAACACTGACACTGAGATCCCCTAAACTCTGCTGTTTAGATGTTACCTGGTAACGAAATGTTCAGAAAACAACCCACAAGCTCGGAGAACAAACCTTCACTCTCAGATAGAGAATTGTATGCAGGATGCCAGTCTGTTTGGTTGGTTACCTGGAAATAGGTTGGAGCTGATTTTCAGTTAAACACTCATGAAATCAAAGGTTAATTAGTGGTGACTTCAGGAAGACTTAATCGTTTGCAAATTTGAATGAGGAAGAAATGCTCTATAAATGTTTGGAAATCTCAGTAGCACATCTGAACTTCATGAAACAATTTCTATTATTCCTGGTTCTGCCAATTTTGCTTCCTTTTCCCTTTTATTTTTCTACTGGATATAGGGATTGCAGTGTAGAAGGAATCATTTAGAGCAGGCGCTTAGCCTTCTAAAGGCCTTGACTGTGGTGCTTCAGAAGTCCTTTAAAAGTTATTCTTCCATTGTAATTTTTAATAAAAGAAGGGGGAAATCATTACACTAATTACATTAATACAGTTAATTAAACTTCTTAAACATTAGTTTGATTACAGTGGCAATGGGTGCACAGTTGAAAGACCTGAAAAGCCACATTGGGAACAAATCATTGGGCAGTAGGTCTGTCCATGAGGTTGCTAAGAATAAACTCTGATTTGGTGGCACATAATCACTCACTTAAAATTACTAATAATTTGGAGAAAGATCATGTTAATAGCATTTAATTATGGTGTCTCATTATTTTGGAACAGTTTACTGTCAAAAGTTTCATGAAGCTTTCATTACAGAAGTTATTTAAGATGGTTCAGTTCCACCAAGCCTTCAATTGTAATTTGTTACTACTGGTATCCGATCTAGAGAAATGTAGTTTATATTTCATTGTTTTATATTTTTAGTAACCTGCTCAGAGCCTTTGGATTGGAGAAAGCTATAACACCTGCATATAAGTTATTTGTAAACTTAAATTTGAATCTGCAGTTATCCTGTCATTTATTTTAATTAAATCTACACATGTTCTAGTCAGCCAGCCTCTGTGGATTGGCCCTGCATGCTGGCTAAGCCTATGAAAGACCAAGTCAAGCTTTTTCAAGCTCTCAGCTTGAAAAAAGATGCATACCTTTGATATAGAAAATAGGTTTTTATGATGTTCATCATAGGGAATCACTGGAGTGTATATATGAAACAAACTTCCTAAGTATGGGACTAACTATGGTTATACCTTTAAATGACATCAGTGTCTTGTCATTTATAACTAACTAATTATAACTAAATCTGAAATCTTCAGAATCCTCAGAACCTTTTTTGAACTGGAATAGTTTTATTTCATGCTAGGAACTCACAATCTATGTAGTATCATTTCAGGGACTTGAATTGGAGTATGTATATCTATCTAAATATTTTTTTCTTTGAAATGCATTAATTTAGATGGGTTTAGCCACCTGAGTTACCAGGACAACTTGTCTTCTCATGAAGATGACCTTCTATCCATCAGTTCAAGAGTGGCGGTGGAGAGCAGGGGCTCTGGACAGCCAAAAGACTCTGAGGTGGATGTTAGTGCAACGCCCAGCCTCAGCCGACAAGAAACCGAAGGGAGTCTGGAAATGGAAACGGCTTTCAGCAATCAAGGGTTTGATGGGAATGATGAAACTGACAGCTCATTGGCTTGGAGTCCAGAGGTAAGAAAAAGTATTTTTATATAAGAGTGTGCATAGGTCTTGTTACCAAGGGCTGCTTTTGCATGTACTATCTTAGGACTACCTAGTGAATCACAAAGTTTGGGTATTTGTGTTTTCACCATCTTTGGACTGTGGATATTCTCTGAACCCATTTAGTAGGATGGTTTTCATAGGATCATGTCCATGTTAAAGTGGCAAATATAAAAGGTTCATATTTCAAAGCTCTTGGATTTGTAGGATCATCTCATCATCTAAATACCTAATTTGTAGGCTAGTTGTGAAGTCAGATGGGGAATAATTGATGCACATATGGATGAATAACTTCACTACTTGAGTATGTCTGTACAGATAACTTAAATTGACAGTCAAATCCCTTTCTTTAGACATTATTGCAAACTGTAGTTCCAAGTACTATGCTACATACCTCTAGTGGGAATTCTTAAAGATTGTGACAAGTTGCAATCCCTTGGACTATATAGGAAATATGAAACTTGGCTCTTCTCTACAATGAACCTACAAGAGCAACTGATATTATTCCCACTGTACAAATTGTAAATTGAAATGGAAAACTAAGATTTTATTTTAGAGGGTCTCCTCTTAGTTTCAAAAACCATTTCTCTGTCCTACTGTGGTTTCCATTCCATTTATTGCTAACAGAGCAATTTTGCTTGTTAGAATTTAATAGAGCAGGATGTTATAATTCCTGTCAGGGATGCTGAGAGTTGAATCCTACATAGTGACAGGAGCAATCCATTCAGGAAATCAAGTAAATTATATGTGAAGTTTCTCCCATCTTCAAACAATCTTTGTAGTGCATGATTTGTCTTCGTATGGTAGCCTTTGGATAGTGGGCGATGCTCACTTGCAGATCTTGAAAGTTGCATTCTACTGCCTCTGAAATGTTTTAATGTAGAGCAGGGAGTGCCATATAATTAGTCTTGTACCTTCTTTCTCTCCTCTGTATATTGCACAGGCATCTTGTGATAAATGTTTGTGGGTACCCATTCTGCCTGAATTGTTCACTTAGGTACTGAATAGAATGGAATAGAATGGAATAGAATAGAATAGAATAGAATAATTTTATTATCATTGTGTATCTCACAATGAAATTAAGTGCTGTCCACAGTGCACCCTACACACAAGTAAAAACCACAAGTAAAAACATACGTTATATACACGCATCCTTCACATTCTATTTACCATTACACTGTCCTTAATATTGCACTTCAATGTTGCACTATACAATAGTATTTAATATGGTTACAGCTCTGGGATAAAAACTATTTTTCAGCCTACTTGCTCTCCAGTTGGTTTTTTGCTGGGTACTACAATGTATTCTTACCCCACTTTATAGTGTTTTGATGCAACTCTTTTTATGTGACAGTGATAATCACAATGTTTGTGACTGTTTGTGCAAAAAACGTGGCCCAAGGTTGTGACTAGTAAGCATTTTCTTATGTTTGGAGCACCGAACATAGCAAGTCTGGATCTCTGTATACAACCACTACATCCCTAACATATAATTGTACGATCTTTGATACCTTTGTTTTTAGATCTAGTTTTTTAGGACCTTAATTACTCATCAGACAGCTGATTGGCTTGCACATCTCTCCACTCTGAATATCCGCTCTCATGATCAGGCTGTTGATTTACAAAAAGGCTGTACAAACTTTTTTTCCTTTTATTAGCTCCTCTTTATCATTCCTTCTGAACCTACAAGGAATTGATCACTTGGTCCTCATTGAGTTCTTCATCTACATCTTCTTCTTATTTCTAAGCTTTTATCTCAAGGGCTGAACTGAAATGAAGGAGACTAATCATTCATTTTAAGCTCCTCCCATATGATTTATACAAAGATCCCTCCTGCTGATCCTCTTCTTCCTCAGTCTTATCCCCCTCTTCATTTCTCTGTCTTCCAATCATCTCAATTCGTTGTGGAATTAAGATTATATAGTTTCTCCCATCCCACTCCAGGAATATACATGTCCTTCTGTTAGAAATAGAAGGTGTTGGGCCTGTCCCAACTCAGTCATTTAGAAAAGAAAAGCCTTTGACTGCATCATAAGTGAAAGGAATAGCTTTACTAAAGACAAGTGCTTATAAGCCAGGTGAAAGCCAGATCTGAGGTTTGCATGCAAAATCTGCCCACTTCCTCTTTTCCAGACCCCTTCCCCCCATTATCTGTTTAGTGCCCAGTGGGATTCAAATAAATTGTTTAGCTAACAGTTCTGATTCTTGGCGGGCTCAGTGATGCGCCATATTCCATTCCCATAGTTGTGGCCTTGTTGTCATCTGGCCAATGTTTCTGCCAAGCATTTGGTATAGTTTTGGTTTCTGGTTATTCTCTCCCCATGTGTTGGCTTGCCCCTCTCCCCTCCTTCTCTTTTCCCCAATCCGCACCCCCGGGTCATGGCAGTCTGGCTTCAGTGAAGTGGAGATGAGGTGGAGCAGGATGACAGCAATGACATTTGGAGTTTTGTTTTGTTTTTATAAAAAAACAACTCTCTTTTTAAAAAATCTTCAAGCAAAAATTTCTGAGTAAGTCAGTATATATTAATTAATTACCCCTTATAATACGTGTCCTCTCTGTGTGCAGTAGTTACATATTGGGATAGAAATTGGAAAGATCCAGTTTGAAATCCAGCCTCGGTCATGGAAACTCATTGAACAACTTTCAGCCAGTTCGTCTATCTCAGCCCAACCCACCTGGGGGGCGGGAAATGGAGAAGGGATGTTACTTTGTACTTCTGGAGGAAAGGCAGTTTGATAAGTAAAACGAAGTAAACAATATTTTAAAAGTGCAAAGTTGTCATCCTGATTTTTGAGCAGCCACTTTCCTCATTTGGACAGCACAAGCAATTGTGATTTTTATAAGCTAGTATATTCACCTTCTCACAGGAGAGCTACAAGAAAAAGAAATGAAAGGAGTAGGCAGCACTAAGCCTCATCTCCTGGGCTCATTCCAGCAAAGTATGTTGCCCTGGAACCATTATGTCTGAACTGGGCTGTTCAAAGTAGAGAAATTGCTTCAAAAACCTGCATTCTGCTGCATTTCAGTCTGTCTGTGCTGGGTGCTTCCCCTCCAGCTACATTGTGTAGCAGGTGTAAAAGGCTGAATCTCATTTTCTAACTTTCTAAAAAGGTCCCATCATCTCTGAACTCTATTCAGACTTTCGCCTATTCAGAAATAGAAATCTCACTTTGGCAATGTAGGTATAAATAACATGTTAGGGCCATTTCCATAATTGCCTGTTTTGTCCAGCAATGTTGTCTCCCCACCTCTCCCCATCCTACTCACCCACCTTCATCTCTGCTTTTTTCTTTCATCTCACATATTTGTACAAAAACCTTTCTGGGATGAGTAGTAGCCTTTTTTTTAAGATGACATTCAGCAAAATGTTAACTTTTATTCTATCTTCCTCCCTGAAGAAAGAGTATTGTTTTTGGAACTATTCAGCATTTGTGAATTATTTTGGAATTCATCATCATCATCTTAGCCATTGTCTATCCACTGTAGGATGAAGGTTTCTTCTGCATGCTTCCAACCAATTTGGTGGACGCTTTTTATCAAGTAGATTTTGAAATTAATACACATATTTATTTTTGCATATAATACGTTGAAGTGCAAATATTTCTAGAATGACTCCAATTCCAGTAGAGCTTAAAATACTGTTCTCTATTCTGGTACCTCTTGCTGAAAGGCAGTATAGCTGACTGTGTTTAAAGGCTGAGATTGAGCAAGGTGGCATTTTGTTCTGTAAGCCTTAGGTACCCTCTGATTTACATACATACCAGTGCTGACCTATAACAATAATAAACATTAACTAAATGAACAGTATATGCCTTGTTGTATTCTGTGGCAAGCGCAGGCAGAAATATTTCTCATTATAAATCACCCAGGTATCTTTTTAAAGATTCCAACTCTTTCCACACCCAGATAAATAGCTTAGTTATTCACCTATAGTCAATCACGGTCTTACAAGTAGACATGACCAATTCTGTGTCTGTTTGTCAGCCCATTATTTAGCCAGCAAAATGCAGCATTAGTCTGTATATTCAGGATAGCTAATGCAGTGGGAATCGGGATCCATGAAATACTTTGAACAAGTGCCTGTTCAGGAAGAATAATTGCAATTATCTAGAACTAAGGAGAAACTTCCTGACAGTTAGAACAATTAACCAGTGGAACAACCTGCCTCCAGAAGCGGTGAATGCTCCAACACTGGAAGTTTTTAAGAAGAGACTGGACAGCCATTTGTCCGAAATGGTGTAGGGTTACCTGCCTGAGCAGGGGGTTGGACTAGATGACCTCCAAGGTCCCTTCCAACTTTATTACTACTACTACTACTACTACTACTACTACTATTATCATTATCATCATCATCATCATCATCATCATCATCATCATCATCATCATCATCATCATCATCATCATCAATTGACTGCACTCTTAGGGTGTTCAAGCCAGGATTTAACTCATTTTTTTTTAATGAAATCAGTCTTGTGTACCACAGATCATAGAATCATAGGGCTGGAAGGGAGGGAGCTTGAAGGTATTCTAGTCCAACGTCCTGTTCAAGGCAGCAGACCTTATACCATCCTGGTCAAATGGTTGTCCAGTCTATTTTTCAAAACCTCCAGTGATGGAGCTATCCCAACTCCGGGAGTCAAGCTATTCCATGTAAGATTTCTAGCTAAATGCAGCCAACCCACTTTGCAGGGTAGCAACCAAGGATATAAGAAACTTTATGTTTCTTATTAGAGAATTGATAGAGTACTGAGCACCAGGCAGAATACAAAGCATGGTGGGTGACCTGTCTCTGGTGAAGTGATTAACAAGTAGTTGTCATGGCCATCATCAACATCATTGTTAATATTTCTTTCTGGCACTTCCATGCCATTTTCTGAATAAAAAAATATAATCAAGGCAATTGAAAGGAGAAATAGTGACCAGCAGCAAAAGAATAATATATAAAATATTCTGCACCAGTGCTCTAGAAGCGTTCTGAAAAACAGCTGTAGGAGTGAATCCTTAAATTCCTTCTGCAGACCTATTCTGCTCCCTGAATATCCTGTTCTTTCACAGCATGTTTAAATAGAAAGGACAGGTCTCTATGGCAACCCTTTTTAATCTGAGATTAAAAAGCACCTTTGAACAGAAAACACACACCCAGGAAACTAAGCACCTGACTCTCCCCCTTTCCTCTTCATAGGCTTTCTTTTATCAAAAGGTAGTGCTTTGTATTAAAAAAAGAAGAAGAAAAGGGGTTAGACGAAAGGTAGATAAATCTGTCTGGGAAAACGCATTGAAAAATAGCAAAGAAAACATTTTGTGTGATTTGATGTCATCTGTAGGCATGAAAAGGCTTAGATTTACTGCCCAGAGAAGTCTAAAAACATATGTTTATGCCTTCACAAGGATGAAGACATAAGTGGAATATTCTGCTTTTATGATAGAACCCAGTAATGCATTTCTTTTTGTACAGATAATAAATGGCATTCAAGAATTTGTCCCAAAATCTTTTCGTCAAGCTTAATTCTTACTTATCTTTCATACTTATCTTTTCAATAATGGAGGGTTTTCTTCTTAGATGTGAACTTCTCTTCCATATTCAATCCTTTGATCTTAATATGTAACTCCTCTGTACGGATTCCCCTCCCCATTCTGTTTGGCCTCCTGACTTTCACAAATAACCATCCAACCATATTTCTCTGAAGCTCCTAACTCTTACCCATTCTTCCCTGATTTCCAGGCCATGCTATGTTCCCATGTCCATTATCTGTTTTTCCTTTTGAATTCCTAGATGTTGCCTCTTTTTCTCTATCTTCTCCACTACCAAAAAAGGCAGAGGTGTCCTCTTGACTTCTTGCTTCCCCCCCCCCCCCATTTCTTGTTGGCAATTGGACAATACCCAGAATCATCGTTCTGCAATTTTTATTGAATTGCTATCTATTAGTAAATAATGGGGCTATTAAATTCCAATTTTGTATTTTTCTTGCTAAAGGAACATGAAGAAGCAGATGTCATTCCAGCTCACACTAGTGCCTATGAGCCAATTTCAAGATGTGGTGACTTAGATGTCATCTTTGATTACAAACCATCAAGCCAGAAATTGGTAGTGACTATTGTTGAAGCTAAAGATATCCCAGACAAGGACCGCAGTGGAGCAAGTACCTGGCAGGTACACACCGTCCTGATGCCCAGCAAGAAACAGCGAGGAAAGACAAGTGTCCAAAAAGGCCCCAACCCAATGTTCAAGGACAAGGTGACCTTCACTAAGTTGGCACCTGAAATGCTGAGCAGCTTTGCCCTCCGGTTCCGCCTCTATTCTGTGCGCAAAATGATGAAGGAGAGAATGATGGGTGAGCAGCTGTTTTATCTTAGCCACCTCAACCAAGAGGGGGAAATGAAGACCACACTGGTTCTGGAACCAAGGAGCAACTTATGTGTAAGTACAATTAAACTGGGGGCAAATTACTGAAGTCCTTATCGCATTTCCTTTCTCTGGGATAAAAGAGGAGAGTTTACAGCCATGAACTACATGCTGCGCATAAACTGCATGATCAAGATTGATCTATAAAATAATTTTCAATAATTGGAATCAGAAATGCTATAAATAGCGTGAGGGCAACAAATCTAGTGACCCCCTCAAATGTTTTAGACTTCCATTTAAACATTTGAAATCCAAAAATCTGCATTAGTAAAATGCATGCTTGGTATGAAACCACAGGTGCATGCAAAGGCTTCATAGAAAAAGTGGGTATTGAGGAAAAGCTTGAACAAAGCAGGAATGAAGTCACGGTTCAGATATTTAGAGGCAGTTATGCATGAAGGCAGAAAGAAAAAAAGTAGGATTTTCTAAGTGGAAATATCAAGATTATATCAGAAATATATCTGAAAATAAAGGCAAAGAAGGAAAGTGGGGAAAGGAGAAGAAATATTTTGGAATAGTGACAAAGGACTTATACTGGAGCTGGGTGTGGTCAAGAAGCCAAATGAAGATTTTCAGGAAGGGCAAAACATAGAAAGAGAATGAAAAAAGTGATGGATCCTTGGTGCTCTTTGAACGTGGTTGTTTTCTTGAAGATGTTTCATTACCCAAACTATCACTGAGGATGCTACCTAGTTTGGGTAATGAAACATCTGCAAGAAAACAATCAAGTTCAGAGAGCACCAGCGATCCCTCATTTCAACCCTGAGCTACAAATATTCTCCTTTATTAGTAATGAAAAAAGTGAATAATTATTAATAATCTAGGGAACTTCTTTCTCTGGAGGCATATTATGAATGTTGAGAACATGTTGAGTACTCACAAGATGGCTATGGGGAACTACATGGTTGCTATGGCAAATTGAACCAGCTACAAAGTACTGATTCACCATAATGTTATCTGCCTGGCCTTTTTAGTTTAAAAAGTCAAAGAACAGATAAGAAGATGTAAGAAACAGGTTTCTGCTGGACTGCTTTATACATTATGCTAAGCCACCATGTAGTTTGCTTGCTTGCTTGTGATCTGGCATGCTGTATGAATCCACCTATTGCAATCTATAAAATACGCATTACATTGTAATAAGATAATGGGTGCCTCTCACCAACTAAATGAACAACTAATGTCAACCTGGTAGAAGGCATCTGTGAATGGAAGTATTTAACTGTGAAAGCTTATGCTGCCCATTTTTCTCTAATCTTAATTTTATGCAAGACACACACATCACAGTTGCAATAGAATAACCTGGTTAGGTTTCTATATTTTGAATTTTACCTGCCTGTTTTAGTGGAGAACTCTATATAATACTGAAGAATTTTAATTTCTAATTAATACTTTTTGTTGTTGTTGGCTTTTTTTTTCATCTCTCCTCATCCAAAGAGTGGAGGCTCCCAACTGAGTCTCTCGGCCATTTCTCACAGTGACAGTGCTTCTTCAACCCAGTCTCTGTCACACGGAGGAGTTCCAGAATTGCTGGTAGGACTATCCTACAATGCTACAACAGGCAGATTGTCAGTTGAGATGATCAAAGGCAGCCACTTCCGGAACCTTGCCATTAACAGACCACCAGGTACATAAAAATATGACCTCTGGGTCTCATGGATGTAGAACGTGGACTATCATTGCCTTGCTTCTTTGATATGAAAAGGCACCAGCCTACAAACACTGGGGCCATGTTGAAAGAAAGGCCTTACCTTGGGGTATACATGTCCCATTTATGAATCCAAACAGGTTGGGGGGGGGAGGAAGTATCTGAAAAATCTGAAATGTTTAATTAGAAATAATAGAAATATGTCTGTTTGTGGAAAGCAGATCCTTTCTTTTCCTGGACTCTAGCTTGAAATATTTAGGATCATGTTTGCTCTGCTCCTCAAGATCAGTTTAGGCTCAGGAAGGAAGGAAGGGCACAACTTCTCTATTGTAAGCACAAGAGCTTTGGTTTTCTAGGACTTAGTCATATATATTCTTCCAAATCACAAAGAAGCTCTTCTGCCATTTGGGCTTCTCTTTTGGCATTTCAGTACAGAATTTTTGAGGAATGCGATTTCACTCTGTAGTTTCCAGTTTGGTCATTCAGAGCTGCCTATGCTTCAGTTGAGTCAGGTTGGGTGCTTAGGGTATTTTTGACACATCTGAGTAATGAGTTGCCTTAGCAACTATAAAGCTAGACCAGAATTGGTTGTTACATTAGACTAGGTAGGATTTTCCTGACTCCTCAATTTATCTGACCTCTTGGGCTAAAAGCTCCAGGGCACTGTTTTTCAACTTCCTCTGGCTGGCAGTTCTGGGAGTTGAGGTCCACACATTTGACTTTGCTGAAGTTGAGAAACACTGGCCCAGGACATCAGAAATCAGGTTATGGACTAGATTGGCCTTGGACTAAAAGCTGCTTTGGAGAAGGTCAGCTGAAGGATGGAGAAGTTGGCATGGTTTATCTATTGGCTCATTAGTTTTTCAAGAATTTTGAAAGAACGCTTGATTTCTTTGAAATCTTTGTTCAGCTTGCCAGGCACCTTTAAGCACAATCTGTTACATTGGATTCAGATTATTTTTCTTCTCTCTCCCAGTTGTCTCTTCTGAATTGTTTTTTTTAAAAAATTGATTAAACCAAGAGAAAGAGAAGACCAAGAACTTATCTCTACGAGGATTTTAAACATTTATTCCCCCCCCCCCCCCATTTTGCTTTAATTACTCAGTTTCTTCTCTTCTACTTTTCCTAAGGAATACACACAAATGCAGGAGCAAGTTTCTTGTCCTTAATATAATTTCAGTTTCCCCACTACTTAGTGTTTGTCTCAGCTTGTATTTTTAATTATTTTGTTTCCTCTCAAAAGAATGTGCAATAATGTACAGTATAGGATTGGAATGAGATGATTTCCTGCATTGCTAATTAATGCTTATGTAAAGGTACTGTGAAAACTCTTTATTTTAAAAACATAGATTTAACTGTGAAAAAATAAATAGACAACAAAAAGGTGCATGCCTAATAGTGCAAAAAGAAACTGATTAAGGCAAAAAAATAAATTTCTGCCAAGAGAGGGGGACAAAACCAAGCCTCAGGCTTCACAACTCTTCAAAAAGAAAAAAAAACAGATTTCATATGATAATTAGGGCCTTGCTTGCCTGTGGTAATATCCCCAGCTTATTATCTTTACTACACAAATATAATAACAATAATATACAAAAAAGCACATTTGTGCAGTGAAAAACACAAATTCTGATTTGGGCTAAGGATGGGACTTCCTCTGAAAGAAACTGAATATAATTGAGATGTAACCTTTGACTGCAGAAGCTATTATCAAACATGTTTCACCTGGCAAAATCATCACAAGGTTGGAAGTGTAGGAAGATTCAGTGAAACTTCAATTGCAGCAAGTACTGTAGCTTGTCACAGTAAAGCCATTGTCTTCTGGAATGTGAACAACAGAAAGATAAGCTAATTTGAATCATATGAGATTGATTTGCTGCCTTCCATATTGAGCTCATTCATTTTTCTTATAATGGCAGTAGTCCACATTTTTAGAAGTCGGAATAAAGCCTGCCTGCCACAAGTAAATTTTTGGATTAGATGATGGCCTTTTCTTGAATATGTTGTAGCACTGCCATGGAATGGAGCCTATCTTAATCCAGCTTTGTGTTTAGCTATTTGTCTGGTTGCCATAAGCTAGAAGGAATTCAAAATTGGCAAGTACACTATGCTGGTTGAGAAGGATGTTCCCTTAGTTGGTTCAGAGGAAAGCAGTTTCTTCTTACAAATTTGCTAGGAGACCAGTGGCCTAAATTTCCACGGTTGTCACAGGAAAGACAGCCCAAATGGAAATACCAGAATAAATATTGTTGCAGACTTAACAAAGTTAACTTAACTTAAATGTAACTTAACCTGTTACATTCCCACATGCTGTCAAGGGTGAATCCTAAGCCTCAGGGTCTGGTCTACATTATCAGTCCTGATACACTTACTAGGATTCATCTTATAGTAAAAAGATTTGCTGGAAATTTGTTGCCCACCACTTGATGTATCCTATATATGTCCAGTTAGATAAATACAAAGAGTATATATTTCAGAATGAATAAAGTTGCAGTGGGCAGCTTTATTTTGTTTTCAGGCAAGGTTTCCTGGTGGAGCATGGAAAATAAGGACCAACGCCTTGTCCCAAGTACTGAGATAGTCATATAGATTTAACAACACTTACTGGCCTAGCCCTGCAAAACAAATTCAGTTTCCTGAGTGCATCATATAAAGCTGTTTTATTTCCTCTGTTTAGCTTCTGTTCTGTTTGCTTTCTGCTGGAGCATGTGATGTTCTGAGGAGCTGACTAAGTCAGCTGTATGAGGGTCAAAGTTCTTGTGTTTGCTAGGCAAGCAGTGGGTGTTCTACTGAGCCCCAGTTGAAGATTTCTGCTTCATTCCCAGTGAGGAAGATCAACCTCCATCATGGTACCCTTTCATGTTCATCATGGCAAGTCCCATCAAGTTCCATCATGGCAAGCCTATTTCTTTAATTGGAATTTCTAGCCAGGGAGAATCTGTTTTTTAATTTCCTGAATAGATAAATTATTCCTACACAGAATAGATTCTGTAGAGTTGTCCCAAAGGTGCCTTTTCTTGTTTTTTTTTCTTTGAAAGTGTTTCGCTTCTCATTCAAGAAGCTTCTTCAGTTCTAAATGACTGGATGGGAATTCTATTGAATTGAGCAATACATTCCTTTTGGTTAAATTGCCTACTGGAAAAACTTTTTTAGATTAGGCTCACCTTTGGCTCACTGGGACTAATTCTTTTTTGTCTTATGATGCTTCTGGAGAAACTCACCTGGTACTGCTATTTAGGGGCCAGTGAAACTGGTGTGTATTTGTTTTATTTATGTTGCGTATCAACTTTTCTTCTGGAGCTTAAAGTGAAAGCACTCCCTTTGCCAGTTTTTTCCCATAATAACAAACCTGTAAAATGAAAGTTGTGCTGGGAGAGGAGAATAAGTGACATGCAATGATGGTGGACTGGAACCTGGTTTTTTTTCAGTCTTTAACCAATATACCATACTGGCTTTTACTCAGCACAAAATTTCTCTGCTATAATTTGTACCTGTATTTCTACAGGTACAAATGATTTATTACCAGCATTTTTTTTGCCATTCTTCAGGAGAAGACTCCAGAAAATGGTTCACATGTCCCAAGCATGATTAAAAATAATATTTTATCTCTTTTGTAGGATATGTGTATGTTTTTGCCTAGGGCAGGGGTAGGCAACCTTGGCTCTTTTATGACTCGTGGACTTCAACTTCCATGCTGGCTCAGGAATTCTGGAAGTTGAAATCCACGAGTCATAAAAGAGCCAAGGTTGCCTACCCCTGGCCTAGGATATTCAGTTCTGAAAGTTGAAAGGTAGCATACGTATTTTTAAAATTTGAGCAGAGGATAGATCAAATCATCACATGGCTTCATTTGGAGAGAAGAAGATCGTCATTCCCCAACACACATGTTTGTGATTTGAAAGATTAAGTGATTGAGGAATAGAAATTATTTTAGTAGTTTTCCTAACCAACCGAGCACAACAAAAAAATAATATTACCATTTTTGGGTGATTGATTGCTGAATTTTGCTGGTGCTGTGAGGGATTGCCCAAAGAGGCTAGTGACCATGCATATCTAACAGGCTACAAGTGTTTGACCTAGCTTCAGCATTTAGGGCATCTTGTCTGGGAATTTACTATATAAACACGAATTGTAATCCTGAACATATATTAAATTCTTTTTTCCCCCTAAATGGCTTCATTTCTTTCTCACATAATATATACACATAGTCCTTGTTCTGTACGGCATAAATGCACAGAATAAGTAATGAGAGAGGATGGAACTCTTTGAAGAGAAGCAGGATGTCCTTGATTTTAAAGTGTGCCTCTCTGTTCATACCCAAAATGAAATTTCATGCCTCATCTTCAGCATAGTGCAATACTAAAAAAAAAATCCCATAAAGAAAAAGAGCCATATGGTGTAATGAAAAGCCTACAGGCTGCATTTTATAGAGGACATTCTGGGATAAGCTTGTAAGAACATTGCTGCATATTCCTAAACATTAATGTTTGATTTATTTGGTTTTTGTATTACGCCATGATTTCAATTAGCTAAAGCGATATGCTTTAGGCAAACTGGTGGCTTCTCTGTGTGATATATTAGATATAAGAGAAACAAGCAGACATATTTTTCTTTAAATAAACATCCGGGTGCTTTGGGCCAGTCACTCTCTATCAACCCAACCCACCTCACAGGGTTGCTGTGGTGAAAATAGGAGGAGGAAGATGGGGGTTTGCCGCCTTGAGTTATTTGTGAAAATAATAAAGATGGGATAGAAATAAATAAACTTTTACCGCTTTAATGTTGCCTGCAGATACTTATGGGAAACTCTGCCTTCTGAACTCTGTTGGTCAAGAAATGTCTCGTTGCAAGACATCTGTTCGACGAGGGCAGCCAAATCCTATCTACAAAGAGACATTTATCTTCCAAGTTGCCTTGTTCCAGCTCTCAGATGTTACCCTGATGATCTCCATCTACAATCGCCGCAGTATAAAGCGCAAAGAGATGATTGGCTGGATTTCTATGGGTCAGAACAGTAGTGGAGAAGAGGAGTTAAGTCATTGGCAGGAGATGAAGGAATCTAAAACGCAGCAAGTGTGCAGATGGCATATGCTCCTGGAGTCTTAGTGGAAACCTCAACAGTTCCAATAGGTGCAGGGCATTCGTCTTCCCAGCATTTGACATATAAAGGACTATTGGTTTCTATTATAACTGGACTTCTGATGCTCTTTACTAATGGAATTATTCTGTTAGGTTATTGCCCTTTTATTTTTAGTTATAGGAAATTGCTTGAAGTGACAGGTAGGCAAATTGGCTCAGAACTTTATGCTCTCCCTTCACCCACCAAGGATTGAGATTGAGTGTTCCAATATCAGCCCAGCATCTTCACTGGTAATGAGATTTGCTCTTGGTCATGTCGCTGTACAGCCATATTTGCTTGAGTGAGGTATGTGCCTTTGTTGTGAGGAAAGGCTGCAGAAATTATCATGAAGCAGTGATCATGAAAATGGTATACACTGGTATCTCGGTACTCATTGTTAATTGGTTCTGGGAGACACAATGAGTACAACCAAACAAATTCTTCCCATAAGGAATAATGTAAATAAATGTAATGCATTCCCAAACCAAAAACAAGGCACATTTTAAAGGCAATATGTAAAAAGACAGGGTTGTATACCATTACTTTATATGAGAAATAAACCTAACAATTAATAAACACTTAAATAAAATAAAAACTTCACTTTACCTGTACTGATGAGGAAAAAAAGCTCAAAAATACACAAAATGACCACAAAAACTAAGACAAGACTGCAAGGGGATGTGCACAGGCCAAGAGCTTCTGCGTGACTAAATGCACCACCCTTTGTTTCACCTGGAAAGGGTAACAAGTCATGAGGCAAACGACACCGACAAGTTCTAGCTTATGCGTTGAGTACAAACAAATCATGAGTACTGGAACAAAATTTTTGCATCAAAATGCACTGAGTAGCAAATTGGATGAGTTTCAAAGCTGTTGAGTACCAAGACACCACTGTATTAGGACAGTTTTGTGAAAAGGTTTCAGGCCTAATCCACTTCACTTAAGTGTATTTGCCTCAGCTCTAATTCTCTGACTGCAATAAATAAGATGGATTTTGATTCCTGACAAATAGTCACTTAAATTTTTCTCTTTATAAATATAGACTTCCCAAAGGCTTAGTTTGAACCATGTGCACATATATCCAGAAAATATCAGATATGTGTATATTATCATTAATGCAACTTAATCATAAAATGACATTGAACCTGGAGTGTTCAGTGTCCTGCATTTACTGTATTTTTTTTCCAAGCTAGCTATATTTCAACCTGGCTGCTGTGGCTTCTAACTTTCCATGACAGCAACGAAATAACATGTAGATGTGGGTTCCATCTATTCCTTTTAATATATAATGTTCTTTTCTCTTAGGAGCAACCAAACACTTGTCCTTTATATTAGGTTCTCCATAGGCAGGCATACATTATTACTCTTATCACCATGGAAGCTGTGGATCCCCTTAGCAGTTCTAGCTCTATGAGTGCTAAAAAAGAAATTTAAGAGACTGGATGCCTGCAGTATTGACAGCAGCTATCTTGAATCTGGTGCCATCTGAATGTGCAGAACTTTAATTATGATGATCTTAACTAGGAAGAAGTCTGATCGGGAAAGGTTGGTTTTAGGAAAGTATAGAGGTTCAGAGATTCTTTGGAAAGATGATAAGACGGTGGTAAAAAAGACACCTTCCTTTGTTATGCTGAATTCCAGAGGAGACTCTGAAGTGTGCTCAAGTACCTTTTGACCAGTGATCTCTCCTGATAGTTGACTTCTCTGAAAGGCTACACAGGAACCTCTACTACAGCATGCAAAAAAAAAAAAAAGTTTTGAGAAACACATTGTTTTAAATAACTTGTAAATAAACTTCAAAACTATCTTAGAAATGGACCAGAGAGTAATATGGTGCTGGTAATGGGGACTTCCTTATTTAAAACCTGGCCACCACGGGGGACAAAACCTGTTACAGAACACTAATTTACCATAATGCTTCCTGTCCTTCTAGTCATCCCATCCTGCCGGACACCATTTAGGGTCCTGCTTCTTTTATCTTTGTCATTTGGGGATGCATTTGGCACATTTTGTGCTGCAAGGATTTCTATATTATAAGGAGGTTTAAAGGGCCCATTTGAATCTAAAAGGCATTCTAGAAAATAAAAATTATGGTTGGAGGCTGCTGCTTGGTTTTATAGTATATCTTGTCGCATTTTCCTGAAACTTTATTTTAATATATTTTATATTGTTCCCATGTTTTAAATAGTTGTTCTTAAAATGTAAAAAGTGAAACGGGACAGGGAGCCTGGGAGTTACCAAGGAAAGTGAAGTATATGTGTGTACTTCACTGTTAGGCACCATGTCGGGCACACCAAATGTAGGCTGTTGACTGTATATAAAGCCTTTCTGTCCAAGCTCCAAGCTCTTTTCTAAAGTGCTGGAGATCGAATTCAGGATCTTCTGCTTGGAAAAAATATACAGTATACTGCAGCTAACTGATGACCTTTCTAGAGGAATGTTCCTTTTAAGTTTTTGTGCAAACATTTTACAAAGAGATTCGACATTAGCTGATTTCTCTAACAAGAACAAAAATTAAAACAGCCTGATTGGAAAACTGCATATCCATGTATGAGAATAGAGGAATCCCTTTCAAAAGGCACTTATACTGTGGATTATACTTCTATTGTCTAAAATTTTAGAATGCTTCTTTGCTTCAGAATTACTTTTCCTTATATGAAAACATACAGATGTTATTGGCTGAAACTCAAAAAAAAATCAATTACTTCTGAGAGAAGAGAGATCAAGATTTCTTGATAATGCAGATGAGATCAAGAATCTAGTACCACATGCTGCTCATCTATTTTTCTTTTTAAAAATTTGTTTCTCCAATGGAAAAAAATAGCTTGCTACCACAGGGTTCAAAGATGACATCTCACCAATATGTCTCCTTTTTCAAGTTGCATGCCAAAATTTTATAGGTTGCATTTTTTTCCCCTCTGGAAATCACCAAGGGTCTGTAAGCTATGAGTAATCTGTGATGCACTCTGTTAAATAGGAAATAATAATGTATCCCAAAGCAGCAGCAAGGAATTCTTCTTTTAACAATAGCAGATATAGCCTTTCTTTTCCTGCATTGTTTAAAAGGTTGCATGAGAAGGTTCCTATTTGGCATCCATCTCACGGAAACAGCTTGTGCAACCCATCTCTGAGGACCTCCTGTTTTAATTGCCTGCCAGATTCACCAGGGAGAGTGCCAAAGCCAGGGTGGATGCAACAAATAATGAAGGGGGCTTCTGTTGGAACACATTATGAAGCCTTGCTAATTTGTAATGCCAAAAGCCCATCTTTTCATTCAGTGATGGATTTGTGTAAAAGCAGACAGGTCTGCAATAAGATTCTTCAAATACAATCTCTCCATAATTTTGCCATGCACGTGGATCTATAATTATTGAGGTCATACATGATGGCTATGTATCACACTAATTGAATTCAGCTACAGTGAATTGCAGAAAGCCAGACAACTGAGATTTATAAACCATCATTTATGGCTTTAGGGTGGACACAGCCAATTATGACCTAAGAAACCATGGACAAACACAGTGTTTGAATATGTAGCCAGTGAAATGACTTGAGTTTGGAGCTGCCTAGGAACTAAATTGTGTGCTAGGAAAAAACTGGGACATAATAGTGGCACTTGTAAGTCTTTTTTTTTTTTTTAATTAGGAAGACATCTGTTGAGGGTTCAAAATGAGCAAGATGATGATTGTGGCATTGTGGTGGAAGCCCCATCCTGTTTATATTTGCATTGACATTAGCAGATACTTACAAAACAGGTATGATTTGCATTAAGACATCTGACTTACCATCTTGCTCTTTTTAACCCACAGAAAGATGCTGCTAAATGCGGAAGAAAATAAATAGCAAGAAGTAGGGCAGAGATGAAAAATTTTGAAGAAATCGCCAGACAGTTGAGTTACCCAAAAGCACAGGGGAAATGTATACACTTAAACTGCATGGAACCACCTGACTGGCTGCTCTCAGAACACTAAGCAGATTGATTCCAGCTACTGCTTGTATGAGAGAACACCCCAGGAAATTTCTGGGCTGCAGGTTAAACTAGAAATTTAAAAAAAATCTAGGAAAAAAGGGTTGGCAAACTGATTTTTTTTTTTTTGCCAAAAGTGCTGATTCCTCCCACAAAGTCTCAATTTAAGCACTACATTATTTTAAAAATAATGTTTATGCTTCCACTCAGTTGGATAAGCTCTTAAGTTTTAAAGGTTTTGCAAATGAGTTTTGAGCAAAAAAAAAAAAAAACCCACAAAAAGGCAGGCAGAGACAGCACACCATGGAGGTCTTAGATTTCCAGAATTGCAAACTATATTAAACATAGTTCATTGAGCTTAATTCTGAGACTTGCGTACCAGTTACAGTGAACAGCAGAAAAATGGTTAATGGTCTTCTCAGAGAACCAGCATGCCATCTTGCCATGGTATTCTTACTCTAGAGAAAGATTTGCCAGACAATTATATATCAGCCCTCCTTATTTTGTGTGGTTTAAATGTTGGTTCCCAGATTAAGATCTTATAATCGAAGAGACTCTGTTCTGCAAGAATTTTTTAACACAGAAAACATGACCGTACCAAAACCAGATAACAAGCTCATCTTTGTGCCTAAATTCTGCAGTTCCTTATAAACCCCTTTGCTGCTGCTTAGAGCAGCAGTTCTTTACATACATACTTAGGAGTAAGCCCCATTTTTTCAACTCCTTACAATCTGCTCCTGAGAACACCTGCATAAGATTTGCTGTACATCTACTTCTGCCATTGGGGAAGGTCCAAATAGAGGCATTCTTTAGGTATCATAATTCATGACTGTGCCAAAAAGGCTTTAGATTTCATACTCTTTTCAAGAGCAAATATATAGAATATTTTAAAAACAGATCTCCCCATATACTGAGTATTCTTTCTATATGTAGGCTATGAAGGATACAACAGTGTATTGAAGGTTGAAGTATATTAAATAAATATTGGATCCCATGCAAGTCTACATATGGTGCTCTCTCAACTCAGGTAGAGTGAGAGTAAGGGGATGTTGAATACTTGCAGAGGCTGTTACTCATATAGCCTTCATGTTTCTGTTGATTCCTGTGCAGAGTGGTCTAAGTAGATCATAAATATAGATTCAACCTCTTCTCATTTAAGTTTTTTTTAAAAGACTTGCTAAAGCACAGTACAGCTGAGCAGTGGATTGGTAAGACTAGAAGCCTCAGTTATTAAAAGATCATTTCTTTAGGATTAAAAAAAGCACAGTTTATAGGCAATATCTACATTTAAAAAAAACAAAACAAAATGTACTTGTGTTCTGACATATACAAATATCCTTGATTAAATGTTATATTACTTTTTATTGATAAAAACTAAATGTACATTTGATGTTTTTTCAAATTTTTTGCTTTGTGAAAGATGTATCTAAATGTGCAATATTAAACTAAAACATTTCTGTTAATTGTCTGGTGGAAGTATCACTTTTTATGTGTTATACCATTCACAAACCTTCATAAAACACAGTGAAGTTCAGAAATTCACCAGAATTGCAAGATGTTTTAGCCCTCTGAATGTGGAGATGGTGATCTGATCAGCGAGACTGTCAGACCAATGTTTGTTCAATGGGAGGAGAGCCTTGACTTCAGTCTGTTTATTCATGTACACGTTGAACTAGACCAGGGGTAGGGAACCTTGGCTCTTTTATGACTTGTGGACTTCAACTCCCAGAATTCCTGAGTCAGCATGGCTGGTTTAGGAATTCTGGGTATTGAAGTCCACAAGTCATAAAAGAGCCAAGGTTCCCTACCACTGAACTAGACAATGTAGAAAAGAACAGAAACAAGCTCGCAGCCAAGCAATATTGACTCTGAACTGGTATCTGCAGCTTAAAATTTTATTCCAGTGGATAGAAAAACCCTGCTGGATAATAACAGGTGATGAGTGACAAGACCACAAGAGGCCTAATTGGTATGTAGGTATTTATAGGACTTGTACGGCTGCCTGTATCATATAATGACTCTAGGAAGCTCACAGTATACTTCTGCATATCTTAATCATATTAATTTATATGCTGCCCAACTCCCAGCAATTCTGGCCACATTACAATTGTTAAAAACCTTTAAAAATAAAGAACAACACAAAGAGCACAAAAGTAGCACAAGACACAGGAACCACAATATCAAAGAAACCTGAATGGGAATAAAAAGAGAGGAAAGGAGTGTTGATTGTTCTTGCCAAAGTGAAGAGTCAGGTCTTTAAGAGTGCTTTGAAATGGGGGGTGGATGTTTAAACCTTGAGAGGGGACACCTCATTTTAGAAGGCAGATTCTGCTACAGAAATTATACTCTTCTGTAGTCTTGATAGATGACATTGCTTAATTGAAAGAACACAGAATGCAAATAGTTTTTACTTTTGTAATCAAAGTCCTTAACAAAAAGTTACATTAGAAAAAAACTATTTTTCATCTAATGGAAATTGTTAGGTAAAAAGAAGAGAATTTTTCTATTCAACACTAACCAAATTACAAATATGGCCTTCATTAGCTATGCTTAAGTAAAAAACAATGGTGTCCCCAAGAGGAATGGCAAAACGTGCACTTTTGTGGGTGTATAAGTTTTATGCAGTATGTCACACATGTATTTAAGGGGTGTGACACTGCGCCTGTCATGTTGCAGATTGTGTATTTCTCTGGATGTATGCTGCATAAAGAAAAAAAAGCTGGGTTAGGCACCTGTTTGTTGTGCTGCAAAGATGATGGTGGCATCTCACAAATAAGGT